TGATGCAGGTGAATGTCGTATGAGGATGGTGATGCAGGTGAATGTCGTATGACGATGGTGATGTAGGTGAATGTCGTATGAGGATGGTGATGCAGATGAATGTCGTATGCTGCGTTCCATTTGAGCTCCTAACTCAGAAATTCAGAGTATCTGGTCGGAAATTTCAACTGGAACAACCCCTGGCATTCCGACTCGTCAAGTTGGAAGAATCCTGACCTCAGAATTCAAGATGATTGCGCCTTTTATCAACAGAAGTTAAAGCTGTAGCTTTGTAGTCTTTGTTAGCATTTACGCCTTATGTGTGGCTCATTAAAAATACACACATACACACAAAATTGTCCAACTGCTATCTGTGGACATGTGTTATGGTGGTTTTATGTGCAACATACTGCACAATGTGTCATTATTAACTGGTATTGCTAACAATGGCTAACAATGAACCTGGCAATAACTGGCGCCTGTTTTAAAAAGCAGGATTTCTCGCTTTACCGTATAATTTGTTGGATTTAAGGTAGTCTGGGCTAAACATAACTGAACGAAGATATCAGCCATTTAAACTGGGGTACTTAAATCAGACAAACAGTCCGGCTAAGCAAGAAATCCTGCTTTGAGCCACAGGTCCCCGGTATTGCTAAACGGCTTTCCGACTTGTTTTACTGGAACGCAGTGTGACATCATTCCCAGTTCCAAGTTCCAACCTCCGAGGTAAATGGAACACAGCAATGTATTACGACGTTACGGGACACCCAATCAAATGAAATACAAAAATGCAGACCGCAGTATTATTAACGGAATATTCATATGTCTAACTCAGCCAAAGTTTGGGCAGCATGCAAACACACTGACTGAATGACGAGTGCATAATCATAGTCATCCATCCGTCTATTTCTCTATACTACTGGCCGTGGGCACTTTGTATGGGATGCCAGTCCATTACAGGGCTCACACATACGAGGGATAATGTGCAGTCACGCGTTTACATGTATTTTGTACTTCGGGAGGAAACTGGAGGAACAGCGGACGTGTAAACTGTACATTGATGACCTGGAGGGCAGGGATTAAACCCAACACCCGTGAAGACACTATATGACAATAATACTAAAGTATTGGGACATAGCTTCACCACTGAATTCAGGTGTTTTATTCAGAGTCATTGCCACAGGTGTTTAAAAAACAAAGCACCCAGCCATGCAGTCAGGTTTCCAAACGATTCTGAAAGAACGGGTCGAAGTGAATGGATCACTGAATTCAAACGTGCTCCAGGTCACAGGATGCCACCTTTGCAAGAAGTCAGACCCTGACATTTTGTTAGATATTCCACGGTCAACAGTAAGTGGTGTTATTGCAAAGCGGAAGTGTTCGGGAATAACAGGTCAGCCAGGAAGCGGCAGACCACGTAGAGTGACAGAGCGGCGTCTCCCAGCGCTGAAGCGCATAGTGTGTAAAAGTCGCTAACGCTCTGTTGACTTAACTACGGAGTTACAAACTTCCTCTGGCATTAACCGCAGCACCAAAACTCTGCGCCAGGAGCTTCATGGAATGGGCTTCCATGGCCGAGCAGCTGCATACAAGCCTCATATCACCAAGCGCAATGCCAAGGATCGGATATAGTGATGTAAAGCAGGCCTCATTGGGCTCTGGAGCAGAGGAAACTGTTCTGTGGAAGTGCTGGGCGGTATGACGGTTCATCCAGTATGCCGGCTTTAATTTTCCATACGATTTGATTTTTTTCATATACTGTCATGGCATAGCACAGCTGAAACAACAGCTGTGATGCTTCAATATTATATTGTTAGTGGCTAAAACAGCTATATATCGCTGTGCAGAATGTAATGAGGGGACCCCTGTTAATAAGAAGGGTGCGCACAGTTAACAGCTATAACATTATAACAATTCTCCATATATAACTGTCCAACTATACAGGATTTACAGCTCCTGCTGCAGTCTGTGGCTGAAAATTTGGATGACGTGTAATATAATTATGGCTGCAAATTAAATGCATATTGGTAAGGCAAAGTCCCTAATACACGGTAATTGATTTAGCACAGTAATAATTATTAAAATCATGCCAGTTAAGCAAACGTTATCAAGCTATATATATGGAAATATCAATAAAACGTGACTTGAGCAATATACAGTTGTTAAGAAAACCACCCCTTTTTAAAAACATTTAACGTATTTTATTGATGCGATCGCTTGCTAACACCATGAGTGTGAACTTGGGGGGGGGGAAATACTGATATACCATGAAACTGCCACAATCTTAAAAATACCATAATACAAAGTTTTGGTCATACCACCCAGCAGTATTCTGTGGAGTGATGAATCACATTTCTCTGTCTGGCAGTTTGATGGGCTAGTCTGGGTTTGGCGGATGCCAGAAGAAGGTTAGCTGCTTGACTGCACTGTGAATTTTGGTGGAGGAGGGATAATGGTATGGGGTTGTTTTTCAGAGGGTGGGCTCAACATACAAAGACATTTTGGACAATTTGATGCTTCCAACTTTGTGGGAACAGTTTGGGGAAGGCCCATTGCTGTTCCAGCATGACTGTGTGGTTTGGTGTGGAAGAACTTGACTGGCCTGCACAGAGCCCTGACCTCTACCCCATCAGACACCATTGGGATGAACTAGAATGGAGATTGTGAGCCAGGCCTTCACATCCAATACTCTTCTGGATGATTGGGCAACGGATCCCACAGATACACTCCAAAATCTCGTGGAAAGCCTCCCCAGAAGAGGGGCAGCTGTTATAGCTGCAAAGGGGGACCAACTCCATACTGATGCCTATGGATGTAGAATGGGACGTCATAAAGGTTCCTGTAGGTGTAAAGGCCAGACGTCCCAATACTTTTGTCCATATAGAGTATAAGGACGCTGTGTTACCTTCTGAACCATCTCTAATTTTATTATAATACTGAAAATGCAAAAAAAGGTTGTATTATGACAAACTAGATGCTGTTGGAATGATGACAATGCATTCACTGGATGGCTGAGTCACCCCCTTTCACCCATGTAATCCCAACTCCTCCCACACACCCCCGACATCTAGTCCCACATGCTTTCCCCACCTCTCCAAAAATCTTAAAAACCCAACTTCAGGTGACTTGTCTCAAGGTAATCAAATTCACTAGAGCAGCTTCTGTGACTGTCCTATCATGTGACACCACTAAGTGCTTCAATTTTGATGCAATGTCTGTTAAAAATGGAAAAAGTCCCAGATCATCACCTATACAATGATCTGAGAAGTTTGAAAAAGATCCATCAAATAGAGTTACTCTGTTCACAAGATCAAGTGTCTTCTGCATCTGCTTCCTTTGTTGCCACCTAGTGCTGCTGCTTCTATTCTGGTGTGATCCATCTCACAATGACATCAGTTGTAGATCATCATCTACAAAATGTTTTTTTATCAATATATAGTTAATTCCATCAAACCATTCTTGACATCAGATTCATAACGTCAAGTGTCTTCCGCAGTCGTCTATCCATTTGCTGCCACTACGTGGTGTTACGTTGATTTTGGCGCGATTCGTCTCAAAAATAAATCAATTCCAGTCTTTTATCCTACACAAAGTCCCTGTGGAATACTGTCAAATACTTTTTGAGTTAACACACTAAAGGGATAAGTGTCGGCTTCAACAGCAGACCAACCAAACACCATATACATTACCCATCCAGGTAATGCCATAATCAGCCAACCATGACAGTTGGCTCACTAGTAAATACTACTTGACAAAACTGCTTTACTGCCACTAAAAACTAATAAGGTGAAAACAGTGTCATGGGATTTATGGTTTGGTTCTGTTCCAACAGAAAACAATTTAACAGAAGTTGTTTGTGAGCTTAGCCATTTGCAAAGGCTGGGTTTCGATGCATCAGTATCATCAAATATGTCCTCTTACCCAGAAAACAGAGCCACGAATGCTATTTAAGCTAATTAATGGGTGATGCGTCTGTGCCAGAGAAACATCATCAATACAGCTCAACTCTAGCATCATGCGCATATGTGCACTTCTATCGCTACAAAAAAAGAAATACATAAAATTTCTTAGGTGTTTTTTTTTGCCATATGCCTCAGATCAATCAACAGACACACCCCAGAAACACTTTAAAGGTATAGGGGGGGAAAAAAACAATGTAACAGGTAATTTACAAATCAGTTTCAGTCGATACAGAGGATATTTAAATGCAAACATCAACTTGATCAGAACTGACGATCTGTCTTACTGTCGCTAACAATGTAGCATGTTGTTTAAGTTAATATGGTCATATAAGCACAGTGTAAAGCCGCATATTGTAATGTTTTGGTGTATATATTGGGGAACAAATATTAACAAATTAAATTAAGTGCCATCTCCCAAGTTCCTAAATTTCCACACAGTACATGCAGTGATGTTTCATGTCCAAGTGCACACTGTTCACATGGGAGTGACGAGACCCATTTCAATTAAACCACTCGGCCAATGCACTTAGCCATCTACAGGCTGCACCCAATACACACATACATAACCGAAAGCTAAGTGGCACGGCTGACCTCAAACGGCCATGCACAGCTCAGGCATGAAAAGCAAGCAGCTCTCATTGTGTGGCCTCAGCTGCCATAAACCTGGCTTCAGATCCCTGGCCATCAGCTGTTGAGTTTTTCCACCATTGTAACCATTTTCCAATTTATGTGAGCACATCTACTAAGCTCATTGCATACAGATGTCAGAAATGTTATACAGTAAAACTGGTCTAAGTCGCCGGCTTGTAACTCGTCAATGTGCACAAGTTGACGCTCAAGCAAAAGCCCAGATTTTTCCTAATGATGTTTCCTTTAAAATTCCTTGTGTAAATCGCCGCTTGTAAGTCGTCAAATTCCCTTAGTCGTCACCTAAATCCCGGTCCCGAACAACACAAATGAATGGATTTTCCTACCTCTAAGTCGACACCCCAATCGCTGCATTCCCGCCGCCTGCTTGTCACCACGGCAATGTAGAAACGGGGAATCCCCACCTATCGCACTAGTCGCTCCCTGGATGCCGAGGCCGTGATGAGTAGAGGTATGGTGTTATATTTACTAGCCGGTAAAACGGCGAGATAGACATAAGTCGCCGAAGTGTCGACTTAGGTGTATCTCGTCAATTCTCCAAGTCGTCACTTTTAAGCTGGTCCCGCGAGTGTCAACTTAGACCGGTTTTACTGTAGTTTCAAATGCAGCCAATTTAAAGTTTGTGAAGCAAGCAACCTATCGGAATCATTACATATAAAGTTGTTTTATGTATAAAGAAAGTATCCAGAGAGGGACATTTGTTTTCACACAGCCCGATTTTCAGATTGCTAAATCGCATGCCCTCGCTAAAGATTCGACTGCCTGAATTCAAAATGTTATCTACTATTTATTTACTCCGCCTGCTTGAAGCTGATGTCCATAAAATAACGATGTCTCATATCTACAGAAACAAAATGACCTGCAGCTACCAATACGGGATAACAAAATGTCACCGATGTCCTTTTGCTACCATTATTCTGGAAAGCATGGCGTTGTTGCACACAAATCCCTTTAGCAATGCATTTATATATATATATATACAGTGGCACCTCGGTTCTCGAATTTCTTGAAAGTCGAACAAATCAGTTTGACCTAGAACTCGATCTGAATATCAGAAGTCGAACCATGAACGCTGACCTAATATAAATTGTACGTGTCAGGAAATGAGTCATACTACAATGCAATTCTTACTTGAATGCCTTCTTCACAGACTGGACGATTAACCAAATAAAGCAGCGCAACATTACAGTAACTAACAATAAATAAACCACTAACTTACGTGTACTATTAGAGCATTTATGTCATTTATTTAAACTTTATTTTACCACGTAAATTAACTGAAAACCAGTTCTCACTGCTTTACGTGATATTCGGGAGAAATAGCAGATTACGTATCGGAACTGCCTGGGATACAAACGTCATGCGTGTAACCAATAAGGGCAAAGGTGTGTCGTCACGGAGGCGGTTCCAGTTTGTGCAGCCGGGTGAGAGGTCGCAAAGCATCTAACCATAATGCATTGCGTCAGGATCAGAATGCGTTGCTTTAAGCCAGCGCTGTAAGCACGTCGAATGCACCCAATGACCGGACTGGGGAAACAAACTGAAACGCGGACTTAATACAGAGGACTAATGACAACAACCAGAAACAGCTTATCACATGGGGATCCCACACGTGGTTAACGAGGGGGCGTGGCACACGGAAGGAGCGGACGATCGGGGCAGGACTGGGGTAATGTTGGGATAAGATCTTTATCGTTTTGGGAGCCATTAAGAAAAAAATGCTCTTGTTTTATCATGTTCATTTTGTGCTTAAATTTATATATATATAAATTTGGGGGGCCGGGGACCAATTAATTGGATTTCCATTATCTCTTATGGGAAAAATTCGATCAGAACTTTTTTGGGATTCGATCCGGAGTCCGGAACGGATTAAGTTCGAGAACCGAGGTACCACTGTATTTGCAAGTATAGACAAACTCTGACAGATGCTTCGACTCCACATTTCCACAAAAGTCCTGTCGGCACATTCCAATAATAAACCTCCTTTCGGGCTTTAAACAGTACAGTAAAATCTTTATTTCCTTCAGTACTCTACAAATTGAGGACATAGAAAGTAGTACTGTAATGCATATCGACAACTAAAGAAAAAAGTCGTCTTTCAGAAGGAACCGAAACCAAAATCTTTTTTTCCAAGTCACTATTTTCCAACTAAGAATCCGAAAAGATCCAAAAAAAAGTTTAACATAACTTCAGCTTTTTCCACCACACAACTTGCAATTATATTACAATTCTGACAGTTCAGCCAGTTTACGTAATAGCAGACCGAAAAAAAAACCAAGTACTCTTATTAACGCATATTTTAACACATCGCGCCCCGAAAAAAATCCATGTGTGCAAAATTGAGTTAATATCTAAGTCAAAGTTAGGAACACAGGAATCATGCGACTATTGCAAGCTGGTAACACGTCAGTGATGGGGGACTTACTAATAACGATCAAGGTATAAGCCACCCCTCCTCTGCACTGTATGATGAAGCCGAATGCCTAAAGCAATTTGCTCGACATGGTTATCGCTCTGTATAGGAAAAGCAGCATACTGCCCTTTTATACCCCATGCTCCGAGTCACGTAGAACAATGCCCCTGATCACGCTTCGCATGCAAACCAAGTTCACTGTCGTACAACGATGCATGTTTATAATGTACATATTTCAGTTGTCAATTAATTGCACTTACACCGTATCCGGCTTGTCATCATCACACCCCCCCCCCACCTCCAACGCGATAGCTCGTTCAAGCGAACAATTACCAACCAACCCACTGCATATTAGCAAGACTTCTACGCATTTGGTTTTGTTCGACGCATATTTAACAGAGCGACTTTATGAAAACAAGACACATGTATTAGAAGGAGCACAATTAAGATGCAAGTTCATCGTGTGTTTAGGTAAATTTAAAGCACCCCCCTCCCGACAACCATTTCTCTAGTAAAAGTCAACAAAACACCACGACGAGCAGGAACAAAGACTGTTTTAGAGCTTAATATGCAGGGTAATGTTTCCGCAGAGCGCGGTGCATGCTTCACGTCGCATTTACCTCTTGCTTTGTGTCTGTCCTGACCTTTATATATTTCGTATTAGATTCCTCTCGCTCCCTGAATCCTCTCGATCGATTATCTGTGAATACGGGATCTAGCACGGAAAAGCTCGGCCTCACCCCCACTTTTAAATATCCAATTCTGTGATTGGCTAGAAACCACCGGTGCTGGACTACAGCCTCGCTAATTGGATTCCCGGTTTGATTGACGGTACACTCCATCAATAGGATCCCCGGAATCGGCGAAGTCGTCATAAGACGACCCTACAATTAGATATTTACCTTTCCCTGTCCGCAGCTTGGTACGAGATACAAATCTTAGCCTTTGGGTTATAGAAATGAAAAATATTCTGCCCCCCACCGGTAAAATCCAGATGAAATAGCACTACTCTTCCCATACATATATTGACAAAAGGAGCCGTAGGAAAATCTGCAGTGCATCCGTCCGGCGTCGTATGGAGGCTTGCCACAGATGCCGTGTTTCACGCCCGCTCCGTCTGTGACGGCGATATCCAGCTTCCCAGCACGCGAACGTGGAGTACGTGCGCTTCCTCACAACACCATCTTAATTATGCACTGTGGCGTGTTTGCTACTACCGCACGGAAGTCGGGTGAGGGGCTGCGGGTCACAGGATACGGTGGCCTACGTAATAGACAATCGTTGCAAGAAAAGTAGCATTTTAAAGAACGTTCAGTATTGCGAGCTAATGTATACACTCCGGGCGGTTGGCTGGAGACTGGACGATTTCATGTCAAAATCAACCTCAACGCGTACAGGATACCCCAATGCACGCATATTTAAAATCTAAATAACGTTACGGTACACTATGCCCACAAATGCATTGATTAGTCAATACACCTAAGAGGTTGCACGCTAAAATTGCCAGCTGACCATGGAAAAATAGCTCTCAACAGTGTGAAGAACTTAAAAACAAGGACGTTTTGTCATCTAGAGGTCAACCATACTTAGAGATTTGGAGGCGGATGCACGGTGATCCATGAAGCAGGTGGATGCCCAAAGACTCACCCAGAGCTACACGGCCACTTGTCGGGGCCTGCTTTGCACAGCAAGAGATGCATACAAAAAGACTTCAAAAATTTGTTTTATTTTGCCTTTCATAAAAAAAAAAAAAAATCTGCATTAAGTAGAGGCAGAATACAAGAACAAACTAACGAAACAAAACTGCTAAACTTGTGCTAAAAATATACAACTTCTGAAAATTTACAAAAGTCCAAGTATGCATAAAATTCTGGGAAATAAAAGGCATTACTAACACGAGTTGCTAGCTGCCTTTGGCTTATTGAAGACAAATGTTTCTGAAATTGCAGAAATGGTAAGAAATCAGGTTAATTTAGAACCTATGAAGTTCAAACAATTTTTGTATATGACGCGTGATAACGGATTACACTGTATTCCGCTATACATTTAAGCTCACACAAAACAATGCACTGGCCAGTTTAATGGTACTGTAGTGAGGAAAAACCCGTTGAAATTGCTCTATGGATGACAGATTTAACACAGCAAACTACAGAAAAATTAATACATAAGATATGGGTGCCTTTGGGGTAACTATTCTAAGACTTTAAATATATAGCCTGATATTCCAAAGAAAATAAAAGCCTGAGGAGTTACTATAGCAGGTCAAAAATTATGCCAGACTGAAGTGCTGACTTGAAGCTGCTTCCCACCATTTCATACGATAAAATTTAACCCTATAGGTGACCAATTAAACATGTTTTAAAAGGCAGAGGTCAATCCTCATGCTAGCAGGCCAACACAGGACTGACTGGGTTTGAATTATCAACCAATGTTAAACATCTAGATTTTATATATATAAAACAGCGGTGGGGGCATCTTTGTCACCCAACTACCAGATGAAATTGTTCATGTTCAATATATTAAAAATCAATAACTTTTTCTTAATTGCTTACTGCTAAACTACAACTCAAAGTTCATGTGGATTCTGTCCGAGAAAGGAAAGCAGCAGTTTGAGCAGGGCAGGAGGCCATCACCGGCCACTGCTGTATCCGGGAAAGAACAGGTTTAGAATGGCTTGGAGGGACTTGTTGACAGTCATCGGGTTATTTTTCCCCAGGTCGTGCCTGCAAGCTGGGCATGTGTACACTTCTGCCTTGAATGAACGCTGCAGGCATTCCTGTAACATGAACCGAATGCACAATATTTAACTTCGATTGCCCTAAACATGCTTTACACATAAAATGCAATGAGAAACGAGGCTTTGAAAATAACAATGGGCAGGATTAGCCCGCAAAATCAGTCACTGTTCACCCAATTAACATGTAAAACACCATAGAAGTAGAAATGCAGACCAAATTTGCAGTAAATGGAGACCTGATCCATGAAACTGACAGCTCACTCACCCTACACACGTTGTGTTGACACTCTGTAGTGATTGGCTGATACACCACCTCCTGGCAGCAGATGCATAAGAATACCTCTTCAACTTTGTTCAGAAATTTCTACAGGCACAGGGATGGACAGATAAGGTTGTGTGCCCACAAAGTCATGTTATACAATCTGTTATATTTCAGCATCTCGTGTACATCAGGTGTAGGCTGAACATACTGGCCCCTGAGACAGGCTCTGCATGGCTTCATCCCACAGCTTCTTGTTGAGCTCATCCCCCTTTATCAGAGCTTTCTGCTCCGCCGTTAGCTTGTAGGTCTCCACTTTCAGCTTCTTTGGAGAGCTCTTGGCTGGAGATTGCTTTTCCGCTACGAGACGACCATCACACATGCGGCTAAGCCAAGCTTAACGTAGCAAAGCAAACAAGTACACAGTACCACACAATGCTTAAAAGGTAAATTTCTCTAAAATATGCCTAACATTCCTTTCACGGCTTCCAAATTTTTCACACACACACACTCACCACCTTGAGATTGTCGTTTCCTCTTCCCTTTGCTGGGTGTGTCAGTCACATCTTCCTCCTCCATCTTATTCTCCTTCTCCTTCTCCTTGGAAGCCACTGCCTCCAGGTAACCCTCAGGATACTAACCAGGGAGAAAGGTGAACATGAACAGTTTTTGATTCCGTTTTCTGATAAACAAGACCAGAAAATTCCACATTGTAGGTATTTTCTTCTTCTACCAGTGTTAACATTTAAATCGGGCACCATATCACAAAAGGAGGAGTCTCTATAGTGGAATTTCTCAGCTGGAAATTACATCCCAAAGAATGTCAGTGTTCCTTCAACAAACATTTAGAAGATGTTTTTGTCTACAGTGATGTAGATGGTCCATCATACATACATGGCTGTCAAGCAACCAAAAACTTAACGATGGTGTTCGAGGAGATGTATACCTGCATGGTGAGACCCAGCTTCTTGATCCGGTCCTTGCCGTCTCGGGTCCAAGGTGCTGGCTCATCGTCATTACGCTTCAGAAGATACCTCCACACCAAGAACCCAGACTTCCCTTTTTCAGGCCAGTACTTCACCACCTTTAAGGAACACAACTGTTAGCAACCTGAGGGCACAACATGGAGGATAAAGGTAAAAGCACTCACTCACTCACCTTGTAAATGCCGTCATATCTGTTGCCATCCTCAGGGCAGTATTTGCTGTGCTTTCGTCCTTTGGAGCTACGCACGACCCTCACTGGTTTCCCCGCTTTCCAGTTCTTTGCCTCCGCTCCATCCTTGTCGTTAATCGCAGCATTGCAGTTCAGAGCCAAAGCTCTATACATCAAGCGACAAGATCAAGACAACTGTCCCGACAGCAATACACCTGGAGCAGCACCGTCTGTTTGTCATGAGGCGATGCTCAGTTACCTGTTCATGTTGGTAAGTTTCTGGTCACATGACTGCTCAGCAGTCCTCTTGTTCCCTGATAAATCTCGTCCACCAGAACCAGTGTAGGTAAACTCATTTCCATCATCCTTCAAGGAAGCGGTAGGCAGAGGGAAGAAATTCATTAGTAAAAGCCAAACTAACTGGCACTGAAGATGCCCACCATAGTAAAGAGAGTGTAGTCAGAAAGGTTTGGGGCGACTCAACCCACCACGTCATCCTCGTAGCCCCCGGCCAACACCAGGGAGTAAGCACCGTCGTTGCTGCGGCCATGGATCCCAGCCACATGGGGTCTGTGTACCCCTGACTCACTGACCTGTAAAACACACCCGAAAGAGACCAATGAAACATGCGACCAGTCAGTCTCAGACATCATTCATGTTGAGCTGTGGCTGCCCAAGGTATACATTGACTCCAAACATGCATGCAGCTGGGGCAGGTTTGACAAATTTCCAAAACCTAGGAAACAAGACGACTATAATAGCGGGTAATCTCAAGACATAATGGCTAACCTGTACTCGGAATTTCCACAGAGAGCCAACCGGGACCCCGGGCACTGGTCCATAGTGGTTAGAGGGAACAATTGTGCACTGTTTTGTTCGGCCAACACAAGCCATACCCTGGGATGAAAACGAGAGAAGGTTGAATGGAGAGACTCAACACACAAAGCACTTTTACAAGGGGTATACATGACGCCTGGCCATTAGTCCACTGCATTCCTCCCGCACCGTGTCAATTATTCAGGGAATACAAATCTTATGAGGAAAAATGCTGGGCGGGCAAAAAAACAAAAAACAAACACCGGTGTGTTGAAATGACGTACTCCATACCTTCCCCCAGTCCCTTTGGCTGGAGGAGCTTGCAGAGGCCATCTTTGCTTTCTTCTTGCTCTCCTTGAGCTTCTCCCCAGCCAACACCACCTCATTCACGTCATTCCGACAACTTGGGCAGTACCTGCAGGTAGCCAAAGGAGGTGAAAATGAGCTAAGCCTAGAGCGGTCATATCCCAGTCAACTAAACGTCTACATCTATTAAACTAAGCAGACATACGAGAGAATAAATAAATAAATAAACAAACACTGGCAAGGCCATCATCCAAGAGACTAACCAGTCCTCGTCCTCAGGTATGGTGGTAAGCGGTGGATTGAGGCAGTACATGTGGAAGGCCATGTCACACTCGTCACACAGCAGCTGCTTGTCTGGGTCCTGCTTTATGCCGCACACGTAGCAGTTGCACATACGGCAGTTCTTGGCCGGGTTGTCCTTGCAGTGCTTGCACTCTGGCCCATTCGACCCTGGGAAACGTAAAGGAAACCCTTAAATCTAAGAAGTGTGTGTGTGCGTGGGGGATGTAACAGACTCCTTTCTACTGAAGACATTGAAACCGGGCCTACATTCACCTTGTGTTATGTGTGTAAATCAGTGATTTACAAGGGGCAACTCAACACTTGGCCTTAACACTTGCATGTTTTTACAAGTAACGTATACAAAAACTATACAGGGTTCAACTTAAACTTCAAGCTCACGTCATCAGTTTATACAGCTGATCCAAGGGTACAGCAACACTTGCAGCGGAAGCCCAATTTCATAAACAATTATGAACCTACCTTGATGAACGTTGTAAGTCAAGATCCATCACACGCGATAAGCCTCAGCCACACTATTATGAAGCGACTTACTTTTCAATGGGCTTTCACACGCCGCTCCCGACTCATCTGTATTCCCAGGCTCCTCTATCTTGTATATTTCAGTCACAAACATGATGCGGCAATCGTTCAGTGAATCACCAGCATCTCTGCAAAAACATAAGGTCATACCATCAATTCAACCCAAAGCCAGAGCACACAGCAATAACTCGCATATGGTCAGAGTCTGAGGAAAACCATGTCCGCTTTGACTATTGTGACTTATTACTGTAGACAGAATCTGTCCATTCTCCTGTCTACTCACAGCATTCGATATCTTATACACCAAAGAAATGATGTTTCATGAACTCTCCTATTTACATACTATGTTTCTACTAGTTAACATGTGCAATCATGATGGTCATTTGCATGGATTGCTTTATACCGCTAATTTTAACAATGTTGATAGCTAGGCAGCTTACCGACACGTTAATTTTGAAGATCAAGCACTACACAGTGACATATGCACCTCAGTGACAGTCCACGCAAGTACATTTTAAACACCATTCACTGATGGCTATTTTTGGTGTTAAGGGTGTCATTAAATTATTGTTACATCTATTTTGTAAAAATTGGCTGAGAAAATGCTTTTTTCTTTCCGGTGAAAACTGGAGATCTGTGTTTATTGGACGATGATGACATGCACATTGTACATGAATTCACAGCAAAACTCCACAAATAATGTGGAAATGTTACAGTATACTAGCAAGTCATCTGGAACTAATGCTTAAATCAGGTGTAATTAAAAGCCCAATAGGAATGGCAGCTAACACACAATACGCTACCAGGACCTGATGCAAGAGGAGCAAAGTGTGTACTGTGAAGAAAAGACCAGTACCCGAGCAGAATCCTGCCAAAGACCTCGCGGGCCGTGCGCGTCTCCCGCTTCCTCTGGATCTGGGCATCGTACCAGTAGCCACGCTCTTTGGGCTCGTCGGGGTTGTAGTTGACCATAACCACCATACCCTCCTCCAGCTGATGCCACTGGTACACGGTGCGAGCACGTGGACGCACATCTTTACCCCGCAGTTGCACCACACCATTTTCTGGGTAGCTGGAAACAAAACCACCTCGATATGAACACTCAGAAGAATGAATGACAAATGCTCCTGAAGGCTGTACAGAGCTGAGGTTCCTTGAAAGATTGCAATGCTTCAGAAAATGTGCCATGGTTTATACCCTGGGTTCAACAAAACATCTAATCTCATCTTAAATTCCCAGCTGACTGAATCACATCTTAAACATTCGCTGAATAGATTCCAGATGCAGACGGCATCTGACTCACTCTTCGTATTTGACGTGGTAGAGTATGTTGTCCTCATCCGACTTTCCCTCATCTCCGTCCGATGGGGTCCTGGTCTCTCTCGTCACGTTCATGATCTGGGCCTCAAACCAGGCCCCCATATTCAAATCGCGGGCATCTACAAACTCATTTATCTGAAACGCCATGAGATGCACGACATAAGGCATGTGTACCAAAACAGACGGCACTAGTTCTGTCCAAACTAGCTTGTCTTCCCATACCCTCCCAGCAATAAAGTACCAGTTGAATTTCAGTCACATGCTTTAAGCTAATTGTTTTGGCTACATTCAATGTTCACATATCGAATTTTACACAACTCACATAATAGTGAAAAGGTTTCAAAACCCTTCCACGCTTCCTTTTTCATTAGGATGTGGGACTACTTTACCATTCACTGCGCTCAGCCCCTGACCAAAGCAAAAATCTAAAGTCATAATGACAGCCCAGAAACCGAAATCCAACCTTCAGAAATGGGTTTCATTTTTTGCCTTTTACTAAAAGGCATGTGATCTGCACAAAAATGTAAACATTTGCATACAGTGTATATACACACCAAAGAGTTAGAAGAAACTCCATTGCTTTATGCTGTTGTACACCAAAACAGATTTAATGTTATCTACCAGTGAAAACAAAGGATGGGTATCATTAAGATTTTAATGGTACTTAAGAGAAAAAGTTAAGAAAAAATTAACATGCTTTCTTATATGTATTGTATGTATTAACATTAGCTTAATAAATTAACATTCTTCAGTAGCAAACGGCAACATTTAACAAGTCACTGTCAATGTGATTACTGAAATGCAAAATAATTTACAACAGCAATGTTCTGAACAATTCACCATTATAAACTGATTTTATGATTAATGAAATGTAAAATAAATGTAATAATGTTCATTTAAGTGAAAACCTGAATGCAGGACTTCTTGACTGTACTGTACTTTACTGTGTGGTAAGCTTAGTTTGTCCAAATCACTAAATCCAAGACGACATGTGATACTCACACCATTTCAGACTGAATTCATGAACACACCCATAATAATGAGTTGGGTAATGGTTACTTTAGTCATAACGCCATATTAGTATAATTTAGTTAACTCTGTGTGAGGGCTCCGCTAGGATACATAACATACCTGGGGCAATGACAGATAACCTACGAGCCAGGCAGTGGAAAACTGCACTTCTCCGTATGCATCTGATGGACTTTTGCTAAACGTTTAGATGGATTGCTTGCGTTTTCGCCCCTTACATGTAAAACACTTGTTGCACTTGTGATGACGCCGTTAGCATCTACCCTAGTGAAATGTCACCACACTTTTGAACATTTAGTTCTGTCTGCTATGTCACTAAAAGCGGGCTCCGTGTGTGCGCTACACGTCGCTGCGCATGAGAGAGAGAGGAGAGAGAGAGCAAGAACGAGTAAGCTACCCCGCGCCCCGCCCCTCACACGCAGGCTCCAGGAAATATGCAAGAAAACTTTCAGGTACCAATAATAAATAAATATTTTCTTAATTTCTTCAGTACCATAAACCTAACCGATAACATCAGAGCTCATTAATACTACAGTCTTTAATGATTTACCCCCGGGGCCCATTTAATACTGGGTCTCAGTACTTATCCCTAGTGAAAACCCTTCACATGCACAACTACAGTTTGTACTGTAGACCAATGTTTCTCAACGCGGTCCTTAAAGTCTCTCAGACGTCACACGTCTTGCTCCCCCTCAGCCCCTTGACAGACAGTCCACATTTTTGCTTCTGGGAGGGAGCAAAAATATGGACTGTATGAGGGTTCCCAATGTCCGGGTTGAGAAACACTGCTGTGGACCAAAACATCCTGTAACTTGGCAAGAGTTTCAGATACAGTTAATTTAGCTTTCATTTGTGTCATACAGAGTTCTTTTAACCCATTTAAATAGAAGAAACATTGAGAGGATTACAATTTTACACCAACTACAAAACAAAGGGTATATTTGTTATTTAACTCATCTCTAAACTTAAGTACTGCAGTCTGAGAATGTGTCAAACATTTTTTGTTCCATGTATACGGGCTACAGTGCCTGCCATTCTCTACCTGGCAACACCTACAAGTTAGTTACGTTGACTTTCAACGCCATAACAACCAGGGCTATAGTCAGTGAGCAAATGGACAGTAACAGATTGAACAATGAAAAACGTCAAATATAATAAAACATGTTTAACTGCTGAAAGGAGTGGATCTTCACCTGTAAGCAAGTAACACCTACAAGCCAGTGAAAGTTTCATACCAGTGTAGAAATGCAAGTGAAATGTTTTAATTCATCAAGATCACTTTATACGATCTTATTACAGTTCCTTTTCATGTTGGTCTTCAAGACTATTTTGCAAGTTACCGAACAGTACAAACAAGCTAAATACTCTAATAAAAGATATGTCCGTACAAGGTAGCAAAACCGCAAAGAAAAAAATATTACCAACATTAAATTCTTTTTAGGGACCAACTCTTCCATATTGTCCACGCCGCTATGTCACCAATTCGGGATCACGCTGCATGCGGCATATTGTATGTCGGCAAGAGGGCATGAAAGGGACAACCTACTATTTGCCACTACTGGTTTATTGGTGTGTCGAAACAGACTTGGCTGACAAAACAACTTCAGATGCCTGCGTGAATCACCGAACTCCAACCGACAGAATGTGCGCTGTAACGCGATACTAATGATCTCTCAATAAAGGCAGATCGAGGCGACGGTGTAATTGTTCACAATCGAATATCGTCAAATCGCACACCCCTAGCTCATCACAAGCCAAATAACTTGGTGAAGTCAGGCACACCGGATCACTGCATTCAGAAGCTGAACTGGAATATGGCGATCCCCACCTTATATAGACCGAAGCCAGGGCACACGAGTTCGGGCAGCTCGGCCTGCGCCGAGGCGCCTGCCAGCTGGCCCTCTGTCTCCCCATGCGTAGAGCTCTTGTCTGACTCGCTCGGGGCTGAGCCACAGCCTGAATCAGAGTCAGAGAGCTCCGCCTCTTTGTCCTTGGGAAGAGCAACAGGGGGCAGATTCTGCCTGACCAGCAGCTGCACGATGTCGTTCAGGCCCACGTTGTAGTCAAATATAGTGTGGCCATCTTCCATCTGGAGGGCAGAGGACAGCTAAACGGTTAATACTCTGCTAAGAGGGAGGAGAGGTGACGGTAAGCCCCTCTGAAACGTTAACATTTCTGTCCTCCGTACCTGTTTGCCCCTATAGAAGAGCCTCTGCACAGATGGCTCCACCTTGAAGGCCTCGGAGATCTTGAGACGCAGTTCATCCACCTTGGTGAGTTTGGACAAGGAGTCAATTCGGTGAGTCACCTTGCCATCCATGGTACGCACCTGGATCCACATCCTGCAGCCCTGAAACAGAGTATCAAAGATCTGAGGGAGAAAACGCTACTGAAGGGGAAAATTTATGATTTCACAAACGCTGGATGCTAGGAGTTCAGAACTCTGATTTGGAGCATTTCCACACCAATATTAAAAAAAAAAAAAAACTTCAAGAATTTCAGATTAATTAGAACAATGCAAACACTTAAACCATTATATAAAGTCACAATAAACATAGATTAGATATGGCTGAGACACGCCCACAGTGTTTACCACGCACAACACGGCAACATTCATAAAACTGTTTTCGGCACAAAGCGCACAATCACAAAGTATATACAGCAGGCTATTAAATTTAGTAATAACCCCGTACTCCGTTCCAGGCACATAAGGGCCAATAAGAAACTGTTTTAATCAGCGGCTACACTGAAAAGCTGTTTTGAACCACCCAATTTTCTGAAACGCCATCTGCCATTGTGAGTCAAAGGCACAGTCTTGTAGCACAATACAACCCCCCTGAAGCACACAGTGGCAGGTTTCCTGAGTCTTCCTCGGCACCGCCGTAAGGAAACAGGAAATGTTCCTCTGGTATATCAGATCACTTAACGCATTCAGAAGAACTGGTACTGAGGCTTTCTTCTGCAGCCCTTCATCTGCACCTTTAAGATTTTCACTCCTGCAGTCCATTTATATAAGGTGATATGTCAGCTCACACCAAATTAAAGTGAAACTACCTTTAACTCAATTAACTTTTTGCAATAAAACAAAAAAAACGTTAAACGCCTGTCAGAATGCAAATTGGGCTTTAGTGGAAGTAGTGAGCATGTGAAACATATGTATTGTACCAAGGATCAAAAACAGGCTCATTAAATGTTATGCAATACCAGAAATTCTCTCAAAACCCGAAAACCCAGGACGACACCCATAATTATTAGTGCAATGTATTAAATGGACAACTAGACAAATAAAAATAGGCAGGTTCATTGAACAAGACTTGGCTGGGGAGGCGTGAATATGAAGAAATATAAATAATAATATTTTTTTAAAACAATTTATGTGTTAAGTGAGCCTAAGAGATTTGCAAGGGGCAGTGGTTAAGGACAGCTAACAGCAGCCGTATAAAAGACTAGACAAAGTTAAGAATAGTTTCAAGCCCATGACTCGCTCAAAGAACGGTATGTACCGCCATCTAGCCTGTCCTCCATTTAAAATAAAATATCATGCACTTTAATTACTCAACGTCAAACGACCGTTTTTGTTGTCACTGGTCTGGTGTCAGTGTTTAAGAACAAAACTCGCCTCTATCCATTGATGACGCCTAACGAAACGCGTGCTGATGCCCAACGGGTGCAATCCAGCCAAGCAAAGCACACTTTCCACCATTTTGAAGGCGGACTTCTCACACCGCCCAACAAGTGCCTCCAGTTTCACACAACGCCGCCTCTCGCACACCGTGTTAAGCCCAGACTTTTATGTGATCGCACGGCTGAAAAGCGGGGATAGGCGGACCGGGTAAGGGTGAGACCGGCCAGCGACCCAGCTAAAAGCAGCGCGTTTTAACTTTAGCATTTTATACCGCAAATACCCAGTTAGTACAATAGGCGCAAGGAGGGCTTACGCCTTGCGAGCATCACCGACCCAACGAGAAGTTAAAGAGATGTCCTGGGGTGCGGTTATCGTTGGGTACTAACCCCAGGTACCGAGCCACATTACCAATAAGACAGGTTCAGCCATTTATATGAAAGATAATGCTCCCAGAAACCTCTATAGCTAGCCGCCTAGCTCATTTTCTCCCAACTTCCCCGACGTAAAGGCGACTGTTTACACTTCCCCGATGGAAAGCCAACGTGTAAGTTAAATTCGGTCCGTTTGGATCCCATTATTTACGTGAGACCCAGGCTACCCAGGGCACGCAACAAAACACCCTCTCCACGTGTTTTGCAGAGTCCACTTAAGGCTAGTCGGCTTAAAACTCGGCGAGGTTGAGAAACAAAACCTCCTTCCTTACTTTGAAAGACTTTCTGAGATAACTTTTTGAGGCCGCCTAGTAGATTATTGACATTTTAAGAGCTATTCTGCATGAGCCATTTTTGGAATTTTAAAATCTATCGTTACATTTTTCTTCTTAAATCAAAGTTCATGCCTTTAGATAACTCACAATGCAACTATAGCGACACTAAAATTAACAGATACATAATGAAACATTACCTGTGTTCAAGCTCTTCCAAAAGCAAACAAATAAAATATATAAAATGCAGATAAAATGTATTTTAAATTGATGCGTTCCCACCGTGACAGCGTTGTTAATAAGAAATGAGAAGACTTGAATCAATGAGATTCTTCAACCGTAGGTGTCCCCGCCTGGTGAATTGGTTTCGTATAGCCATTGGCTAGTACCGCTCGCAATATCACGTGTGATAGGCTACAGACCGCGTCAATCAAAGCTCAGACCGGAGCTTCTGCTCAGCGCGCGAAACTTTGGTCTCGCGCCTTGGCCGATTTCCAAGAGTTTTCCGCGAGAACATGCAAATGCTCACAACAAAGGATGAACCCGAAGTCCCCAGAAATGTGAGGAAGTCGCCTGGGAGGCTGTTCTCTGATAAGTGTGACTTCCGACATGACAATTATAAAACGCAATATTAAGATGTTTCCTTCGTGTTTGGCCAAACAAATGCGTTTCTGTAATGACAGTTATAACCGAACGCAATCAGCACTATGAAATTGTAAACTTGGATTTTTAGGACGTATATCCTTTCTTTATAAAATGTCATCCTATGTTTTGTATTTCGCCAGTACACACCGACACAGCTGTCGAGTGTTCCCTTCTTTTCTACTAACATCCCGCCTCTTTGTAAATGTCACTGTGGGAGGACTTCAGCCGCGCTCAGCCGGCAGCTGCTGCGGGTGCAGTGGCGCGCGCTCGTGTTTTGCTCAGAGCCGCAGCTGTAGTTTTTTGGCGGGATAATTCTCTGCCAAATACTACAGAGAACGAGCCACAGGCTCCGCCCTCTTCCCTCGGTGGACAATACATCTGACGCGCGGCGCGGCGCGGCTCGTCAACTGTCATTTAGGAAAAGCAGGGAAACACTGTAACACTGTAATTAATATTATATCACATTATCGATGTCTCCGTAATCAGATTGTTTCTTCCACCCCCCCCCCGTTTCTGCAAAATCTATATATCAAAAATATATACGTATTTACATGACATTACACTGCAATACTGCGACCTACTGCTAGGAACCAAAACTGAAATTTTCCACTTGCAATTTTACCTGTTTAAACAACTGAAAGCTTGATGTGTTACTTATTTTTCTCAGTAGTATTACCATACGACTCATTGCCAGACTTGAACGAATATCCTTCGCTTTCGTTTCTTTGCTACCAGCGACTATGTAGTATTTACATTTAATGAACAAAATATTGTTCTTTGTGGGGGCAAAATCGAGGATTTGACGCTCAAATACATGACATGAGCTTTAAAAAGCGTTATTGTCTACTTTGATAGTTCACTGCTCCCGTTCAGAACTCAAGTCTCGCAAACTTTCAGAAAACATTGATGGTGCCTTTGCTGACTTCTTCTGAAAGTATGGTTAGTATGTATATGCACACGGGGCCAGACATAGGACAGCACCTACAGCTTTTCGCCGGAATTTCCGCTTAACTTAAGATCATAAATAGTTGCATAAAAAAAAACCCTGCGTGGTTCGATAACTTTCGTCTTTCTTAAACCATTAAATAATATATAATCGGACTGTATCCGTTCTGCGGCACCTTGTAATTTATCGCTTTCCTTGTTTTAATGAACTTAAGTTAAAACACGGATAGATGGCTGTTTCCTAATTAATGTTGCCGGGATGATAGCTGGCATGAAGATGGCAAAACACCGTGACACAGAACCCTTGCATAGTATAGTTACTAATATGGAACGGAAGCGGTATGCGTGATGTGCTCTTCAAACCAAACCATTGATTTATTCATGTGTTATACAAACCGACTTTGTACACACCGACACACTGTAAATGTTGTGGATGTCCATCCCTCACATTCCAGTGTATTTCGTTTGTTAAAAGTTAAACCATACATTTAAATAGTAAGACGACTGACTGACCATTGGTTACCAATAGAGGGCATTAAAGAGATTTTAGTTTTAAAGTTTTTATCTCTTTAAACTTTAAACATAGTTTTTATGTTTTAATGTTATACTTGTCTTGTTATAGCGAGATACTTATTGTATCTCGTTAGAACAAGAAACTGGGCATTTTTTTCTTTTATTATAGTGGCAGCAATACGCTGCCGTAGTCGGGGTTAGCAGTAGGCATTCGTGGCATCCTAAAATCTGTTCGGTTATCCATCTGTCCGTTTTCTGTGACCGCTCGTCCTATTCAGGGTCGCAGGACTGTTCAGCTCTTATTCATCCAATGCGTATTTTATAAGGCATTACATAATATAAGAAGCATGATGAACAAGCATCAACAAATCTGTAGCGTTTCCCAGAAATTATAATGCAGGGTGTATACTTCGTGGAATACCACTCTACTGCAGAATGCAAACAATAACGTGCTAGAAAATGCTATGTATGCAGTACAACAAAGGGGTTCTGTTTGGCACATTTTATGTGACGTGAAGAAAGGTGCTACAATCTACAACCAAGGGTTTCCTGAGGGCAAAATTTATTGTTTAAGAGGAAAGTAAATTATTCCGTTGTTTCAGCTTAAGTTACACGTTAAACTTAATTCCATGGAAAAAACACAAAACAAAAGGACTATATATCATTTGAGGCTGTCTTAGGTAAAAGTACATTGCTTTTAGTCAATCAAGACCTCAAAAATATTATAGAGATTGTGATGAAAACAGGTTATATATTATGAGTGTGTGCCCGTCAGGGCTGGAGTCCGTCCGTCGGCCCTTTCCCATTTGCCTTTTCTCCATTTGGCCACCCGTTCCCACTGGCCATCCCCGCGGTGTTGCCCTTGTGGCTGATTATCTGTGTTGCTGTGTGATTATTAGCTGTAGTTACCCCATGTTAGTTATTGCAGCTTCCCTTGTTCCTTCCAACCTTTAGTCTTGTTGTTCTTGGTGTTGTTCTCTGCTTTAGTTTAGTTTTTACCCCTCGTGGTCCCTTTTGTTTTCTGTTTCTCCCTTTCTGTTTCGTGTAATAAAGCCCTGGTTTTTTTGGACCCGCTACATGCATCATCTTTTCCTCGCCATGCCCAACAATGACATTCTGCTTTGGGGATCAAAAGGAAGTTAGTTGTGTTTACTGATTATTATGTAGGCTATATGGGAAACCACCAGTAAGTAATATTAAATACAGAATCACAATTTACACCAAGAAGCAAATAATTAAGAAATCAGTGTCTGGAGGGAACTATAGGGAGTGTATTAGCTAGATAGATGGAATTCTGTGGTATTCATAGAATGTAGAAGGGGCTGTTTTCCAATTACACGCCCTATTGTACAGGATCCATATCACCCGAATATTCCACACTATATTAAAATACATATTTACAGCATTGTTGTTGGCAACTGTTGTTATTTTTGTAGCTCGCCACACATTAAATCATTCAGCCTCCTTTGTGTGTCTTTAGAGCATGCATTGTTCATGTGATCAACTGCAGAGAAGCAGTTTGTTTCAGTTTTGCTCTTACTGAAATAAATATAGGCCTAATTTAAGAATCCAGTATAGTTCTGTAATATATTTACTGCCAGGACAGTATAGTCTTTGCCTAAGAGCTCAATGTGAATATTGTAACTTTTACTCCAAACGTTGTGGCTCTGCATGGAAATGCTTATATATGTTACACTGAGATAACAGCAATGTTATTCTTTGCAAACAATGACACAATGTGGAACATAAATCCATCTTTACTTCTGCGAAATGAAGTTTCTTCAGCTTAGCAGCCACAACTGTTGCTGTTCACCAAACTCACAGTAAAGAAAATGGAACATGGGGCTTCCAAGGACAGAATCTCTGTTATCGAATCTTAGTTTTCATAGGGATTATTGTATAGGGTACAATTATTCTATTAACAAAGGGATGAAGAATATTAAAGGTATTAGGGCCATCTAAAAGGGGGGAAAAAATGATGAAGTCAAAAGTTTTGAGATTAAAGTTAAAATAAACATTTGAGAAAGTTAAGTGGTAGAAACCTGTCTGTAGGAGGAGAATCCTCAAGATGACACCAGATGTTTCACGTTCAACTGCTTTCTGGGCTCATTTTGCACAATAGGAAGGCTTTTGTTTGCTAGGAGAAGCTATCTGTAGAATTTATTTTCAACCTTTCAACTTTATTCTCAGAATTTTAACATTTTTTGTGTCGAAAGTTTATTTTAATTCCAATCTCAAAATGTTCATATCTTTTTTGGTGACTTCCATGCTCATCTGTTTTATGGCAACAGAATTACAATTATTGGGACTCAGATCTATCAAGACCAGAACCACATGCGACAAAAATGGCTTCTTCCCTTCAGCAGTTGAACTTATCCACAAGCCCCCGGGCCCCCAGTGACACAGTCCCTGCCTCTGTCATTCCCCCACTTGCTCTACCTATTTTCATCTACTGGACATCATATGTGTTTTCATACCTTTATATTCCAGCATTCAATATACCTCTGATGCCTTTAATGTCCTTATAATTATATTATATAGCTTGTTCGATTTCATTCCTTTATTCTAGTTTATTTCTGCCTATATATTTTTCTTAATTTAGTTCTTGTTCTTCTACGTTATTTGTGAATGTAAGCACCAATACTCCCAAAACAAATTCCTAGTACATGCAGTTGTACCTGGCGAATAAAGTCAGTTCTGATTCTGAATAAATGTAAAGAATTCGCTCCAGCTGAAAGGGAGATTAGCTGAGTTATTAACTCCAAGGCCGCATTTTATTTGCACCTGCTGATCTGCGCTGCTTTCCAAATTAATATTTAATGCGATAAACTGACTCAGTTGTCTTCAGGGCCTATTGCCTTGATAATAACCAGTAAAACTGGTAAAATAAAAATAAGCAGTTAACCCAGCCAGGGGTATGAAATAGATTTTTTTTTTAATTGTGGGACATCCCAGATGCATTCTTAATGATATGGTGTCTCTGGGTAACCTCCATGGCCCATATTATTAAAAATAATGGGTAAAATTAATTAAAAGAAACATGTGTTGGAGCTGTTAACTAAGGTGGAGGTAGGAAATTGATTTTGAACCATGCAAATTTAAGGTCCCCGATTTAAATGGACTTTGTCTTCCCTCACTTACATTTAACCCAGACTACCTTAAATCCGACAAGTTATCCAGCTAAGCAAGAGAGCCTGCTTTCTGTGAATGGCTTCAAATGGCCTGGCAAAAGTCTTAAAGAAATAAATGTATATTTATATATTGTGCATGCTTCTCTTTAGTGACATTGTGTTGTGTGAATTGGAAGTGGATTTTGGTTTTAACTGTTTCTGTGGTTTGTTTTGAAGTGCTGTGTCTGTTATGTGCTTTGGGTTACTTTGGATTGTTGCTACATTCCACCTGTGACTGAATTGTTGCACCTGTGCCTTATTTCCCCACCAGCCTAGCACTAACTGAGAAAAGCTTTGTGAGAGAAAAGTTACAAATGAAGGCGAAGCAGTTTTTAGCGTGTTTTTTCTCTTTTCTGTAAATGTTCTGGTGCTCTGAATCCCTCTTTCTCTGAGGCTAACCTTCTGAAGAGAGAGAAACAAAATCAGTACAACTCTGGAAACAGTTAACCCAGCCAGGGGATTTGTTGTTCCGTAAGATTGTTAGTTAGGATTAATATAATCAGACTTGTCCAAACCTAATTCACTGAAATCATATTCAGGTGATCTGGAACCAAGAATTATTTTTACACTTTATTTAAAGTTTAAACCCAAACCTGCTTTCTAGACCACCCCCCTCCCCAAGGTGATGTTCATGATTTGGTGTTTCTGATAGGATTACAAGATATCATTGGAGAAACTATTTCCCTATCTTGGTCATTTTACGTGAAGCGAATCTGTGGAGTGCCTTCAGAAGTTAGCCTGTAAGATCAGTTAACCAGATCACTGTCAATGTACAGGTACTGGGAGTTGTAGTATGAATCTGCGATCACCAATGCCTCGGTAAGGAGGTAGTGATATTTGGGACCAGCAGATGGAGACTGTGGCTGTAAGAGGGGGTCTCTCAGGAGCATACCTCACACTAGGCTGTGTGACCGACGGAGAGGATCGTCTGCATGTTGGGATGTGGCATTCTGCCCATAGGATGGTTGTCGTGGTTTTGCCCTGCGGACTGTGTATGTAAATGCGATCTCTTCACCCTCTCTGTCAGGTCATCCATCACATTCAGATCTGATGGATTGTGGCGCTGAAACCAGAGAACGTGGTGTGGGAACAGTTGAGCGTGGCAGAGGAACTCGAGGACGTGGTACAGGAATGGAGGGCTGTCTGTCAGATGCTGAGCTAGCAGGCTGAGGTGGGTGACCTGCACAGGAGGGGAGAATGACCAGTGCTGGTGGGATGCTGGTTCCGACCTTGCATTACTCTGAACCCTCCCTGTCAAAGTCCTACCAGTTACACTGGGCTTCAAACATACAAAAATGAAAACTCTGCAGTATATTTACCTGATTTCTGAAATCCAAGCGTAATTTTATGTACTTGAGACTTATGTATTCTGGCTCACATTTGAAAGAGAAATATTTCACTTCAATCACATTATATCATAATCTATTTAGTGAATAACATTAGTATTGATCTACGACGAGCTGGCACCCCAACCTGGGGTGTTCCCTGCCTTGTGCCCATATCTTCCAGATCTGTGACCCTGCATAGAACAAATATGTATGGAAAGGCCAGATGGATGGATGGATGGATGGATGGATGGCATTAGTATTGATGTGAATATTTATAATGTTACATCTGCTAACAGTCTGGATACAAAACAATTAAAGATTCCTCTTTATCTGCTCTTTTTCATATATTGTGTATAAATATACAGTGTGTGTATGCATATATACATATTGTTTGTGTGTATTTACATGTGTGTATATATAATATAAAAATCTCATCTATTTATTTTTGGTGTGTTTTGCCTATAAAACTGAACTTCCTGTCCCAGAGGAAGAGTCTCTACTTTTCTGTTTGCCCCATAAGTGTAATGAATGTTCTCAGCCTCATCTCTCCTCCCCCCACTATAAATCAAAGCACTGGCCTTTAAATGTTGTCCCACACTGTTTAAATCAGCCCTGCAGTATCCCCTTTCCCCGACTCTTCCGCTGTGGTAAATAATTTAATGCTGAAGGGTAGTAAAGGTGGCAGTCATGTTGAGCTGTTCCTTAGATGGGGACATACCCTACCTGTGGCATGCATCAAATTAGACGGGAGGGGGGGTCTACTATTATAAGGGTCTGGAGTTTCTCTGCAACTGGTTGTAGAAACAACCTGCTTCAGCCTCAGTGGCTTTTGCTGACAGCTCTGGCATTGATCTCTCGGGACAAGTGCAAAGAAGCTTCTTCAGTTTCAAGCTACCTCTATGCAAAGACCGGGGAGCTATTATTGGATGACCAGCTCCTTCGCTTGAACTCACCGAGCATTAGACCTCCCTCTCCGTGTTCTGCCACCATTGTCCAAGGTCTCTGGTAACCGCTTTGCCCTTTTGCTCGTGTTTCTGATTTTTCTCACCTACTCACGATGGACGTCAGCCCGCTGCAGGTTCTGACTCTGCCAACCGTTCCATGCGCCGACCAAAAACCCGGGACCAGTGGGCTACGGAAGAAGACTCACGTCTTTGAGACTAAGCAGGACTACCTTCAGTATTTCATCCAGAGTATTTTCTCCTCCATTGACCTGAGAGACCGCCAGACGTCAACTTTGGTGATAGGACGAGATGGCCGCTATCTTAATAAATCAGCCATAGAGGTTATTGTGCAAATGGCAGCTGCGAATGGGGTCAGTATTGTCATTGTGACTCTTTAACCCTTATATGAATGCTCACTGGCTTTAACTAACTTTACCAAAGAACCACATGAATACATTACATCAACCACATTCCTGAATTGATTACAATGACATTTTCCCTTTCTCAAGTACAAATAGAACCAATGTATACAGAATTTAAGCTTAAATTTTGTTGCTTAACTGACACTTTCGTCAAAAACAACTTTTGATATATACTTAGATAAGGACCTTGCCCAAGACAAGTACAACAGGACTCCTCCTCAGACTTTAACAGGCAGCATCAGATTATGGTTTTTAACCACTAAGCTAAATGCATTTTCGCAGGCAAATTCTCCTAATGCTTTAATATCCTTTAACTGACAAGCTTTGTGTGGTTTACACTCCCCGCGCTATGATAGTTGCCTAAATTGGATGTTTTGTTGTATCCAGTAATGTTACTATTCAACAGCGAGGTGAGTATACACATTCTGCTCACTGTAAATAATCCTTAAAGACCTTTAAATGATGGCAACTATTACTATATATGAACATTTAGGTTTGTCGTCTCTTCCTTCATTCTGTTACCATGTCAACAGGGAAGCGCTGACAATCGGCGTTACAGATCGGCTGATGAAGAAATGCTGCACAGACACTGTTTGTCCATGCATGTATTGAATACCATGTCTGTTCAACTATTGTACCAATGACAACTAGAGCACGTGATCACAAGTGTCACCTGATTATGTTTTTACATTTTGACATGATTTAGCAGACATTTTGTTTATTTGAGAAAACAGGGCCAGACAATAACTGGAACAACCAGGAGTTGGTTGGGGGGGGGTGTGATTCATCACATCTCTGGTCATGGATCAACAGGGGAACCATTTTGATGACCCTGGGATTTGAACCCACAGGCCGATCACAAGTGTCACATCGTAATTCACTGAGCCACTCCGCCCCTAAAGCTGTTGTATACTGTGGGGCTCGAACCCTCAAATCATGAGATTAAGTGACATGATCTGTCAACTGAACTAGCTGGATAAAGACAAAAAGGCTATAGGACAAGAGACTGGAGGACGGGGAACATGGACATTTTTCTGAGCAGCACTTTAAATAAAATGCTTAAATCTGGAAAAAGAAACAGCTATAGCCACCTCCTTTTAGCAGAGGATGGTTTCGATCCATCGACCTCTGGGTTATGGGCCCAGCACGCTTCCGCTGCGCCACTCTGCTCCACAGGCAGCTAGTGAACTCTCAGACAGCTACAGACTCTCTTTAAAAGGGATATATATATAGAGAGAGAGAGAGAGAGTTAGTTCATTCTTCATTTTGTTTTCTGTTTACGGCGCATTCAGTTATTTAGTTTATTAATAAAAAGAACAGTGTTATGGCTTGTTTATAATAGCCTATTAATGATTTACAAAGTGTTACAACCTAATTCATAACCGGATAAGCCATTCATCCAGTCTTTATAAATTAGGATAGTCTTATTTAGGTAGATCACAGTCCTCCCCATTGAGACATCTTTGTGTTTTACGCCTGTGCTTACATGCAGATTGGCCGCCTGGTGATTGGACAGAATGGCATCATGTCCATGCCGGCCGTGTCCTGTGTCATCAGGAAGATCAAGGCCATTGGCGGCATCATCCTCACTGCCAGCCACAACCCTGCTGGACCCAGCGGAGACTTTGGAATCAAGTTCAACATTTCAAATGGAGGTCAGCAGAAGGGTCATGTGTAATTAGATCTGGGTATATCTTTGTTCATAGATATTTATATCTAGATATAGACATGGGTGTAAATTATTGGGGGGATGGGGGATTGTAACCCCCCAATAATCAAAACCAGCCAATTTAACCCCCTGGACCCCCTCAAATAAGTGCTCAACCCAAAGTTATGCTATATAGATATAGAAATAGATACAGAAATAGAAAAAATGAGGCTCACATAGCTTTTGGCCTTCTTGCATCTTTAAAAAGAATGTTTAAACCATTAAGCAAAGGTTAAGACATTCCTATTAAGAATTTTCTAGTCTGAAGGTACCAGTTAAGTGAAATACAGGTTTTAACATTCTGAATGTGAATGTGTTCTTATTGCATACTGTTGTTTCTTTTTTGTCTACACACTATTGCTTGTCTGCGAGTCTGTGAGCTTCGCCGTGTCCCTGCATCACAATATGTGAATTTTCCGACTTTGCCAAGTCACGCCACTCTAGAACTTAATGCAGGCCCAGCACCTGAAGCCGTGACGGATAACGTCTTCCAGATCAGTAAAACTCTTGAGGAGTATGCCATCTGTCCTGACCTCAGGGTCGACCTGTCCACTATCGGCAAACAGAGTTTTGATCTGGAAAACAAGTTCAAACCATTCACAGGTACTAAAAAGCTGGCTGCGTCCCTCTGCTCTCGGAGGCGCCCCCGCTCTTCCAGGTGCCCCCCTTTTTAAGCTTGTTATCAACTGTAATTTGTTTCCAGTGAATGCAAATATTAGCTTTTCTATTGGGTTGATATTAACATTGCCATTAAAATAACTAGATGTTGATATGTGATTGTCTCTTATATTACTAAATGTATAAACAACTGTCTAAATTAGTATTACAAAATTTGTATTAGGTAAATTATTATTATTACTCGTAATTAAAAATTGAAGAACAGCATAAAGCTATTAAAGCATGACAACATAACAAATTTCATTAAGTGATTCAAAGCCCAGTATTTTATTTGCTATTTAAAAACTGATTTTATATTATGCTACAAGATACGTGCATAGTACATACATGTAAATTAGGTCACAATATTGCCATAGAACCACTGAACCATTGTGGTGCCAGTGTTTAACCAGTCGTGTTGGGCTGTATGAATATAACTATCAAAAGTTGTATCTATATTTAAAATAAATATGGGGCTAAAAACAAAGAGAATTGATTGTGACGTTGCCACGTACCTGTGCGGCTGCAGTTGTGGGTCCCTATGTGACGATCTGGGCTCTCCTGCCAACTCGGCCATCAACTGTGTCCCCAAGGAGGACTTCGGGGGTCACCACCCCGACCCCAACCTGACGTACGCGGCCGACCTGGTGGAGACCATGAAGGGCGGGGAGTATGATTTTGGAGCGGCCTTTGACGGGGGCGGCGTATGTACTGTAATTAGTGCCTCTGCTATTCCTCGATGTGGCCTCAAGAGGTCACCAACTCACATTTTTGACTAAAAATTAAACTTGGTAATGTCCTCCTTTTGAATTAATGTCAACTAATGAAATTGATTGAAGATGATTTTTTTTACAGAAAGCAGTAGTCTCCAACCTATTTTACAGATACTTTTACAAAGATAAAAAAAATGGCAACGGTCTATTCTAGGTTATTCTCAATATATTTTACCATTCGAGGGGGACCCTCTGGCACATTGTCGTGATCGACTGGGACCAACCCAGTTGGGCTTTGATATCAGCAAGGCAGGTAAAGTGCTGGCTGTTAACCACCAGTCTGGTGTGTCTCCTCAGGATCGCAGTATGATTCTCGGGAAGCGCAGCTTCTTTGTCAGCCCCTCCGACTCCATCGCCGTCATTGCGGCCATGAATGTATCATGAATGTATCAACCATTGCAAGGAAGGTCCATATTTGGTCCCAGATTTCAGCAGCATCAGGGATGTTGAGTCACATGATGGTGACAAAAGAAATAACCAACGACTAAGATGGCAAACCAGCACATTTTGGTTGTGTTGTTTGTGCAGACAAATCAAATGCTGCCATTCTTTGTGTCACCTAGTATAGCTAAAACCACCAAGATCCTCTCTACATGAGACCCCAACGGGATGGAAGTTCTTCGGAAACTTGATGGATGCTGGCAAGCTTTCCCTCTGTGGAGAAGAAGCACTAGGCAAGTCAGATGCATAAATAAATAAGTGAAGATGCTAATGTGTTAATTACTGAATTAGGTTTAGTGTTAGGTGCATGATAGACACTGTATTGTTATGTCCCTGTACCTCTGATAGGTACGACTATGAGGAAGTAGATGCAGAGGCAGCCTATAAGATGATCGGCGACCCGGAAGCAGTAATGTCTGATAAGTCCTTCATTGGACAGAAGTTTTCAATGGGGGAAAAGATGTACCAGGTACACAAAGCAGACAATTCTGAGTACAGCGACCCAGCGGATGGAAGTGTGTCCAGAAACCAGGTGAGACCAATGTCAGCAGTGTTCTCTGGTGCAAACTCTGCAGAGGGTGATTATACTTCAGTGCTCGCGGGGTCTTGCATTAGCTTATGCTGCTAAAGTACATAGAAAAATATGCAGCAGAATTTGTTTTCTCTCTGCCAATGAGGAAATTTAGTCAGCACCCTGTTAATAATTGTCTCATCACTTGATTTGACTTGTAGATTTATGTGTAAGAACCATCTCTATCACACATGCTGCCATCCTTTCCAGGGCCTTCGAATCATCTTCACTGACGGCTCACGCATCATTTTTTGGCCTCAGTGGGACAGGCAGTGCCGGTGCAACCATCAGGCTTTACATAGACAGCTATGAAAAGGACCCCCAGAAGATGTACCAGGACCCACAGGTGAGGCCTGAGTTGGTATTCATTAAAAGTCCCAGTGATGCCATCCTGATGCACCCACTGGTCTTGTTATTGGATACTCTATTACACTCTATTACACTGTGCCAGTGTAATAGAGTGGTACTCTGCCGGTGTAATAGAGTGGTACTCTGCCGGTGTAATAGAGTGACTCTGTGACAGAATAATAGAGTGATACTGTGCCAGTGTAATAGAGTGGTACTGTGACAGTGTAATAGTGTAGTACTGTGACAGTGTAATAGAGTAGTACTCTGCCGGTGTAATAGAGTGATACTTTGCCAGTGTAATATAGTGATACTCTGCCAGTATAATAGAGTGACTCTGTGACAGTGTAATAGAGTGATATGCTGTCAGTGTAATACAGTGATACTGTGCCAGTATAATAGAGTGACTCTCTGACAGTGTAGTAGAGTGACACTGTGACAGTGTAATAGAGCGATACTCTGCCGGTGTAATAAAATGACTCTGTGACATTGTAATAGAATGGTACTGTGTCAGTGTATTAGAATATTTTGGTCTAGCTACATATTCAGTTCACTCAATGCCAAGCAGTGGCTTATCCTGTGAAGGCTGCCGTAATCTGGAAGCTATCCCAGAAAGCATGTAGGAGCACAGCATGATACAGCCTGGATGGAGGAGGCTCAAAAACTCACAAACTAGCAGTTGATCTAAACTGCATGTCTTTGGCTGTTAAGTGGGAAATCATTCAGAGAAAACTTATGTGATCAGTGAGACAAATTTGGGATGCAGGACCCAGTGAGGCAACACAAACAAACTCTACATATCGCATTTCTTTTTTTTTCTTTTTTTTTTCCGTGCTTTTATTTATTTTTATTAATGTTTCCTGTTCAAAGGGCTGATGATGACCTTTAGCTCAGCACAATATTAGATAAAAAATTAAACAAGAACAAAAACAGTAGTAGCTTTGAGTAAAAGTAATAAACGGTAGAACCCCGGAGCTCGTTGGCTTCTGAGCTTGTCATATTCGGCCTTCGTCGCGAAATGACGAGAAAATTTTGAGTCAGAGTATGTCGGAAAATTTGGAGTTCGTCCCGAAAAACCGTTTGATTTCCTTTGTAAACAGATGTTTACGCTCAGTTGGCATTAGTCTTACGTGTCGTTCACACGTTGCTCTGTGTTGTGATCGCATTTTATAGTTTTTTGTGGCTTTTATAAGCTTTTTTGCTAATAAACACGGGTCCAAAGAAAGCCAGTGCAGAGAAGGCGAAAAGGAAATCTGTAAGAACCACAACTGAACTTAGAAAGGAGATTATTGAAAAGTCTGAAAGCAGCTCTCTGACAGACTGTACAGTACTGTACAGTAATTGTTAAAAAACTAATTTTATTAACTTTTAATGTTGTGTTTCTTACTTAAATTATGTTATTTAACTCTGAACTTTTTATTTTTTATTTTTTTTTACATATCTCATTTCTAATCAATTTTCAGCTCAAGTAGACTAATGCTGCGTTCCATTTACCTCAGAGGTTGGATGCTGGAGCTGGGAACTCTCGAGATAACCACATTCCAGTACAATGATTCAGAAAGCCATTTAGCAATACCGGGTGGTATTTCACAAAGCAGGATTTCTTCATTAGCCAGATAAGTTAAGCCAAATGTAAGGATTGTCCAATAGGAATGCCACTTACCTCTCTTCTAATTGGACAGTTTTCACGATTGTCTTAAATTATTCAACGAACTGGGAAATTCTGCTTTGTGGAATACCCTCCACTGTGTGTACGACCGATTTTCGGAGCCACAAATAAGACCTAAGTGTTAATAAACAGTATTTAGCTACTGTTTTCACTTCTGTTGATGAAAGGCACAGCCATCTTGAATTCTGAGGTTGGGGTTGTAGAGGTTCCTCAGACTTTCCGAGTTGGAATTCTGACGTCTGGGGGTGTTCCAGTTGAAACTGATTACTAGAAACTTGGAAATTCTTGGAAATTGGACTTCCCAGTTCAAATGGAATGCAGCATAAAGACTTCAGTGTCATGCAAAGAAAATGCTGTGAAAATCCATTCATCTCTATCCATAATTTTATCGGTATATATGAAGGGTGATGCTAAGAAAAGTTATCTTAAGTTCATATAGATGATGCGGGAGAGCTGGCATATCTGAAGGACAGAATGATACAGGGAAATTGGGAAAACATCCAATTTTCCATTTTTTAGGGTGAAGGTGGAGCAGATCCAGGTGATCCCCCTGCACTCACACTCTCACTCACACACACACACACACACACCATCTCATGCACTTCTTTGTTTTTCCAAAGCTTTCAGAAATCTCCCTGTGGAACAAAAAGAAAAAAAAATGCAAACATGTTAAAACAAAACACCAAATAAATGCTTTGCAATGCATTATTGTATCCTATCTGCGATCTGGATGCTGGAGTCATTTAACGACCTCCCAGGAAAATAAACCGAAAGCATGATGACTTCACGCTGTCAGATTCTGATGCATCTTTCCTGGAATAAAGGCACTATCACACACTGGGAATCTTATCAGTTACTGATTCAGAGAGGATGCATTCAGCCACTCCTCTCAGAAAACGGGAGAGTGTGCAATCAGAGTAGTAAGAGTATAAACACCCATTCAGAATAAAGCAAGCGAGAACAGCTTACCAGATGGGACCTTTATGGTGCGTAGAAATCATCACACACTGTCTCGTCATGCTCTTTGATATCTGAGAGGGACAAACTCTGAAGTTCCTAATAAGGCCGATTGGACAGTGGTGCACAGCTCAGTGGGCTAAGCCTCTGACTAGAAGGTTGCTCTGGTCGGAAGGTGCCCGCGATCAGAAGGTTGCTCTGCTCGGAAGGTGCCCGCGATCAGAAGGTTGCTTGTCCAAGCCCGGCCTCAGCAGAAAAGTCACGTCTGTGGGTCTGTGGGCATGACCCTTGACCCCCAGCTCCATGGGTGCCCATAAATGACTGATCCCTCACTGTGATTCCCAGGCTTCCTCTCACCTGTGTGTGTGTCTCAAAGAAAGCCGGAAGGGGTAGGTGAAAAGATCATTTCCCCAAGGGGATTAATATCTCATCATTATATAGAATAGCACAATGACCAATAGTATGATCAATTTTATTTTAAAATCCCAGCATCTTTCCAGTGGGAGGCAGGGTACACCCTGAGCCCACAAAGATCTATGAATGCAATCAAAAGACTAAAAATGTTTCGCATTTTGTTTGGTTACTTATGGTTATGGTTAGGGCTGGGTAGGGGTTAATGTTGTCATAGTTAGCGTTAGCATTTTTCCCTTAGAAATTAATGAGCGGTCCCCATAAAGATATGTTTACCTGACGAGTGTGTGTGTTTGTGTGTGTGTGTGTGTGTGTGTGATGGATTATATCTGGATCCCAAGCTGAAATATTTCAGGAATTGATTCCTTTAGCCTGTGTGTTGCATTAAGTCATTCTGTCCATCCTTGTGCCATTTGAGAATAGGACAGCTTCACCTCTATGCAACACATTCTCCCCTGTGTCCTTTTGCAATAACTGAGGCTAGTGAGATATGGCTGAGAAGATTCCAGTGGAAATAACACAAGCTACAGTCATCTCTAGTCCCTGTTCTGTTTTTCCAGGAGCTAAACTAACTTGCAAGCTTTCTCTGGGACCTGCATTAACCCTTAATGTGGATAGTGGTGGGAAACAAGGACATAAAGTAACAAAAGTGAAACAGACTACTTCTCGTTCTCCAGTCAAAGAGATGATGCTTTTTTTGGTCTATCAGTACCTGCTATATTATATTCATGTCTAACTGGTACAGAAGAGGCCCTGGTTTATGCAGTAATTTCAGCTATATTTGGTTCTTCCTTCTGCCAAACATGTATTGCATATGATCTGGTAGGGAAAAGCCATGTTATGCACGAATCTTTTAGTGAAATGACTTCCATGATTTGCACATCAGTAGTTTTACAGCTGATGACGTATGCATTTGGTTACTCCTGCAGGAAGGCACTGATGCACAGTCTGAATCTCTCCTTGAAATAGATGCACAGTGCTTGCTAACGCAAGTTTTTAACTCAAGCTAAATCCACATAGTCAAAATATAATTCAGGTATTTTAATTAATTGTGTTACCAAGCCAATATTGACGGTCTGCAGACATTTTTTGTACAGAAGATAATCTCACGCAGCTTGTAGGAGGAATTATGTTGGCGGATTGCTGTGCCAGTAGAGATCGCTTATCGAGGCAGCGGTACGATAAGAGTCTGAAGAACATCCGCAGTCGGGTATTTCAATAAAAAGTTGTCTGGCAATCGTCGTTCTCCAGTTCTCTGCGCTAGACGAAAAGGACCAGTTACTCCCCCTGATGTGCGATTCAGTGTTTATCTACCCCTGGAATTACAGAATTTGCGATTAGCATTCCTGCGTGTTCCGCGGCAGCTGCAGGTCGACCTCCTCAAAAGGCAGTCAATGTATGTAGCTATAGGGAATGAAGAATTACAAATATATGCATCTTATGCATGGACATGGACACGCATCACACATAACGCATTAGGAGCTCTTTAAGTATCGCAAGGCGGCCAACTGTCAGAATCCGGCGTGACAGTCACGCTTTCAGACTCTGACGCTCACCCAAGAAATCTTACTGCAAATCTATATTATTCCATTATACACCGAAAATTAGCTACATCAAAAGCGTTGGGGTACAGACTATTTACCAGGTAATAAAACTGTCACATATATGTAAATGCGTGTGCATACCTGTGCAGACTAGTCTGATATTGAAAATCTCACTCCAGCCAGCTGACCACAGTTGGCCATCCTGGTATCGGTTAACTAGTTTTATCCACGAGAACAAGAAATGTCTGACTCAATGGACAAACTTCTACTAGCTGCTACTACTATTAACAGTAACAATAATACCACTGCTAACATATTTGTGAGTATTCTCTAAAATTCTCCAGGGCTCTCTGTCAACAATGGCCGTTGCTTCACCTTCTGGATTCTATAATCGAGGACATGCAAGCATGTATTAAGTGTTCGCGCTCACTTTAGGAAGCCCAGGCTTAGTAGATCGACATGAGTGATATTGGGGATGAAAAACCGAACTTTTTGGAGTCACTGCAACTTCAAAAGACATGAATACAAATATCTTTGCTGCAGGACAAAATCAGGCCACGGGGTCAACGCGACTGGTTCATGAAGAAATATGTCGTGATAAATATTTGGCTTATTCCTCAACCCAGAGATTTGCAAAGTTTGATAAAAACGTGAAAATCGTCGCTTTTTCCCTTTCTACTCTTACTTTTTATTATTATTATGAAAGTCTTATTATTCTGTTACCTCTTTTTATGACCACGTGTGCAACATTTGGTGGGGTTTGGGACATTAAACGATTCGATTAATTAGACTAAAAGCGCAGAACTGCATAGGTGAAGATTGGCGTTTGTGATCATTTCTGGTGCCGTGAATGTATTACTATTTTGTCATTTGGTCCTCTAAAATGAATATAGTTATACATAATAGCAATAAATATGTACGTCCATCCACCTTCAATAATCGCTAATGCTGTACAGGTCCGCGCCGAACATATTTTAATAAAACTGCTCTTGCGAGCATATTCCAGTTTAAAAGTTTGTAGGAAAAAAAAATATATGACTAGAATACATCTCTTGACTACGAATATCCTTTTGAATCGTTTCAGAAGTGAGTGGGTTCATTGCTAAATGACGAACACCAGGTGGCGACTCGCGGGTGCTTTAATCAAACACATATGCGCTCACACTTTGGTTTTCAAAGACCTGAGCGGCACCAAACTTTATGCAGTAAACGAGTCGAGTCTAGAGCCCGGACATCGCAGCCAGACAACTCAGCTGCGTGCAGACAGCGGGAGCGTATCTTCATTTTATAGCCTCTGCAAGCAGCCATCTGGTACTATTAGTATAAAGTCCCTGCTTACCACATAGACGGACGACTCATATTCAGAGGAATGCAACAAATGGGGGCAAAAATTAATTGGAGCTTGAACTTCTTTCGTGGCATCGTGATGTTACAGCTTGCTGGTAGGATGCACAGTACGACTGGTGAGATATATATATATATATATATGTATATTTATTAATTTGATACTCATTTCAACCCGTGAGCGCTTACTTTGTCCTGATAACCGCACTCATTTGATATTGTCAATTAGAAAAATTGTGTAAAAAATGTGACATCTATAGGTATTTATTGCAGGTACTATTAGGTATTAGATATTTTCATTTCGTTCGTCGCTCTCTTTAAGTTGGTTATTCGAGTATATCAGATTCACAATAATTGCTGTTATTATGGATCGTTATTTATATTGGAAAGTTATCTCATGAACAATAAACAAAATATAATGTTTTATTTATTTGTTAAAGAAAATAAATAGATAAATAAGATGGAATGTTGGTAAATGGCGTTTTTGTAACAATTAATAGTTAACAACGTTTAAAATCCAAAACACAGGTCACAAACCTGTCCCATTGGGTATTTAATAAATAATATCATATTCGGGGAGATGCAGAGTGAAAAAGTGAAGCAGGTGTGCCGGCTGAATGACGGTTACGGATGGGCTGATTAAACACTAAGCGGTATACGAGCCGGTTGTCATTCCCATAGGATACAAATTAACTGGTTGCCAGTTCAATGTTAACTTAATTTTTAACCCCCACATGGTCAGTCTCCACGAAATTAATTAACAATTAAGTTTTGCATGAAATGTGCTGTGCTGTTGTACTTCATATTGTTGGCAACATTTAAAAGTTCCATTGCTGGAGATATGAACAGTGACATTCTGAGATTTTGTCTTACCACGCGTCCCTGAAAGCATGTGAGCTAATTACAAGCCCTAATTCCTTTGGCAGTCATTGAAAGCAGAATGAATCGATTACAGGTGGGGGCTGTATGGTATTTTAAATGGTTAAGCACGTTTAAACTGTAGAGAAAAGTTTAATTTCCGCGTCATATAGGCTCAAAAGAAATTAGCATGACTAATCTCTACAATAAAATACTATGAAACTGTTATATTCCTACATCTGATGTCGCAGGCACGCGTATGAATTTATTTGTACAGTATTTATTTGCTGTTTTACCATTAGGCAAGCATCTGACGCAATGAATATCCCCCCTGCTTGAGTCGTCCTAGATTTCTGGCGTCTCATATCTTTCACTTGCCCTCTGAACTTTTAGGATGCTGTCTATGCTGTTGTATAGAATTTTGTTTCTCACTGATGTGAGCGTTGACGCTTTAACCACAGCCTGTGGTATTTCTAGAGAGTCGATGTCCAAAAGCCCGTTAGGTATCCAGAATCTAAATTTTGACATCCTGCTCATTCGATGAAAATGGCAAGAGTAACTGAGAATTGTCATATAATGAAGCAAAATATCATATATAATAGAATATTATCTATGATGTTGGATATTTGACACATGAAGGCATTAATTTATAGTTTGTATTGATTTAAATGATATTAAATGTCTTAAATGATACACATTTACTTATAAAACATTAACTTGCACTCTTAAAGTTTGCAGCAATTTATTTTGTATTCATTTTGTCTTTAATGTCTGTTAGCTGGAGCCAATGTAACATATGTAAATACTTGTCACTGAGTTTGGTAGAGTTTTGCAAAATGTTGCATAATATTAGCAATTCGTTTCACTGTTGTACAAATTATGTGCATAATGAATATCAGTGACAGGCAATTTTTTTTGGTTTTAATAGTTGGAAGTGCTTCAGACCCACCAAAAATGTCAGAGAACATATTTGGTCTTCACCGTCTCGTCGAATGAGAAAAGAAAATTTGCAGTATGAACTTGTGCACCTACATTTATCATTTGCAGAAGCTTTTGTCCTTTGAAAGTGGAGTAACCATGACTGTAGCCAGTATCTTCTTTGTATGTTTTGTGCTAAATGACTGAGAAATGTTTTCCCATGAGCTGAATCTCAGCATGGAGAGTCTTCCTGTAATTACAGCCAACTGGAAATCCCAGGAAACTCCGGAGGTCTGTTACAGGCAAAAGAGCGTGTGCCTTGCTTGTCCCATTTGTCGCAGGGACAGTCATTTTTAGCTTTTTAGTCCCATTTGTGTTTCCTTTTCTGCACACATTTTGTAAATTAAAGTAAATTTTTGAGACAAAATTGTTTAGAAGAGCATATAATCTAATATTATTTTGCGTTATGTAGCCTGATTGGCAGCTGAATGCAGTTCTTTCTTTAAACAAGGTACCATTTTCACTTCTTAAAACTATGAAATCATGCTACATTGAACTAAACAGTAGTTACAATGAAACATGACTTTTAAATGCCGCAATAAATGTGTCGTCGTAAATCCTGGAAACGTGTTTGCGTTGCATTAAGGACCGCGGAAGGCTGTCTGCTTGAGGGTCTTCCATGGGACTCAATTATGTCTTTGTAAAAAAAGCCACACTCCCCTGAAGGCAGTAAATACCTTAACCTCCACAGAGCTCTCTCCCACATATCAGAATTAGTATAGAATTAGCTTAAAGTGGGTCTCAGCCAGCAGGGCAATTTTTTTACAGTTCCTTTTGTTGAATCAGTATAAGAATTTGTTCTAAAAGCCTGGAATGGATGAATTCTGATGTCACGTTTGTCCAACAGTATATTTTTTCTGTATTTTCAAGCCTGTGAGAAACCCAGCAGACAGACCAAAAATTTATAGACACAAGATAACCAAGAAATCCGTTTAGGGAGATGATATCTTCCTTTGGTTTCTTCGGATGCATCGGCCTTTTGAGAAGCAGCCTAGCGTGTGTCGCTGTTTACCTTGTTCGTTCGGTTTTGTTTTGTGTACTTTAGACGGGCAGTTTGGTTTGTTTTGATTGGCAGGGTGGCACTTGTACTTTATATCAGATGTATTCTTTTTGCTGTTCTGAGTGGAAGATGTAGTTCCATAAGTGCTTATGGATGTCACTGGGTTATTTCACACTGTCGTGAATGCGCCCTGTCTTAATGACCCTTTATACTAATTTGGGAATTCACCGGACAAATTATGTTGCTGAGGGTTAAGTGAAAATAATGGATGTTATACCTTTACTTGGTGGTTTTCCACAACCCTTTCCATCAGCCTTACAGCACAGCATAAATGTATATGTGTTGCTGTGCCTTTTATATGCTCGATTATTAGGGAGTGCATTGCATTTTCTTTGTAACACATGCAATAGCATGCATCTTCCTTGGAGTGCTGTAACGGAAGTCAGCAAATCTCGTTTCATAGCCCTTATTTAAGTACCCTCTTAAAAGGCTGGGTAAACAAGCTGGAAACGACTGCAGCCTTTATCACATGTATGGTATGTAAACATCTCATATAGTTTTCACACTCTTACGCTATGCATTAACCAGCATACATGTTTACGAGTGCGGCCCACATCCCATAACAACCATCGCCAGTGAATCACATTCACCGGTGCGGTACTTCTGCTGTTTGGCAACAGCACGTACAAGCGCCAACGTGAAATTAATCAGAAACTATCTACAGGTGGCTGGGAACTAATTAACTAGTATTCACTGGCTTGGTGTGTTTTTGGCAACTGCTGGTTCTTAAGCGCTAGAGAGTCGGACATGAATTATGCTTAAATCATAACTTACACTGACCTGCTTGTCCTGGAAGCTGTGCTGGACTTTTTGTTGTTCCTTGTGGGGTTCCAGCTGTTCATGTATTCTGCCCAGTTTTCCGCGTGTTGTGATAAGGCAAAGAGAAGATACACATTTCCATTATTTCGGCGGCTGTATTTGATTGGTGGCTAATCTTCTTTACTTTGACTCTAAGCCAGTTAGTAAGTCTCCACCTCTTTTGCCTTGTTTATTTAACACACAAAAATCTCTTCTACTTTCATGTTCTTGATTGGTTGGTGATTGCTAACAGCATCCATAGAAACTTAAATCCTCTCATAGTTTGAAGGCCTGGAATTCTTTGAAGATTAATTCACCCTAAGAGGCTTATTCAGACCCAGGATTTTAACCAACATTTTGTTTCTATTGATAATATTATAGGTCAATTTCCTTTTGTAAAGAAAATTTACTGCACCCACTTAGTCCTTCACCTTATTTGTACAGTATATTTATACCCATAAATTACTCATTAGCTATGTAACCATGTATTAATCATTACTGGAATGCCGTAATGTGACACAAAATTAACCCGCAACTCCATCAATTGCCAAATTATTTTGTTGCAGATTTATTGTTTTTCAAATAGTGCATTTGGGATATGTGGACAGTGGGATTCTTCTGGGTACACTGGTTTTCTCATGCAGTCCAAAGAAATGCTTATAGATTAACAGCTGCATATGTGCCCTGTGATGAACTGGGTGTGTCCCGGCCCTGTGCAGCCTGGGATAGGCTCCAGCCCCCATCCCCCACCCCCACATTAGCCCGTTCAGGATAAGGATCTGGAAGACAGATGGATGGTTTAGGGAAATCTAACATTTAAATAGCTAAGCTTTAAACCGAGTTCATGCTTTCGTTCAGGTATTGAATTCTGCTTTGAGGATTAGCATCCCAACATATAAACCACGTAACAAAGCACCAATGAAGCTGTTTCTTTAAGCAGATCCTCTCCCTAGTAAATAATTTGCCCCCCAGGTTTGTTTCAGTGTTAAAAATGCACGGTGACCCTGTTATTACTGCATGCTGAGTTTACGTTTGTGTAATTTTACGAGGTAAGATACAAATTTTGCCTTTAACAAAGTCCAGTAATTTCATCCTTGACGAACAGGCTGAATGCTTGTTGGTTCAAATCCCATCAGTGGGCTTCTGTTGACCCCTTGAGCAAGAGGCTTCACCTGAGTAGCTCTATAGCATGTAGCTTCGTCAGATTTTGGAGATTTTTTTTTTTCTATGCTTAGCCAATGAGGTTTGATTTTGGGGGGCGTAAAGAATTTCCCCATGGGGATTAATAAAGTGTAAATTATTATTATTATTATTATTATTATTAATTAGCTCTTTAAACTTTTTGGCTTGACTGTGAGTACAACAGCTTCACCCTGTTGGTAGTGTTGCGGGTGTCCATTGGTATCATAAAGTTTGGATAGTTTT